CAACCACATCTCAAGGAACTCCTAGCAAACTCTGGAAGAACCCAGGGTTCCCCAGGACTCGGATAGTTGAGAATGGCTGTGATGAGAGAATAGAGGAGGACAATCAACCACATCTCAAGGAACTCCTAGCAACCTCTGGAAGAAACACCCCAGGGTTGCCAGGGACTCTAGTTGAGAATGGCTGTGATAGAGAATAGAGGAGGACAATCAACCACATCTCAAGGAACTCCTAGCAACTCTGGAAGAAACCCTAGGGTTGCCAGGGACTCTAGTTGAGAATGGCTGTGATAGAGGAATAGAGGAGGAACAATCAACCACATCTCAAGGAACTCCTAGCAACCTCTGGAAGAACCCAGGGGACTTCCCAGAATGGCTCTATTGAGAATGGCTGTGATCAGGAATCTCCTAGAACCTCTGGAAGAGCCAAGGGGCTGTGAAGAGAATAGAGGAGGAGGATAATCAACCACATCTCAAGGAATTCCTAGCAACCTCTGGAAGAACCCCAGGGTTCCCAGGGACTCTAGTTTGAGAATGGCTGTGATAGAGAATTGAGGAGGACAATCAACACATCTCAAGGAACTCCTAGCAACCCCTGGAAGAACCCAGGGTCCCAGGGACTCTAGTTGAGAATGGCTGTGAGAGAGAATTGAGGAGGACAATAAACCACATCTCAAAAGAACTCCTAGCAACCTCTGGAAGAACCCTAGGGTTCCCAGGGCGCACTCTAGTTGAGAATGGCTGTGATAGAGAATAGGGAGGAGGACAATCAACCACATCATCAAGGAAACTCCTAACAACCTCTGGAAGAACCCCAGGGTTCCCAGGGACTCTAGTTGAGAATGGCTGTAAAAGAGAATAGAGGAGAGAGACAATCAACCACATCTCCAGGAACCCCTAGCACCCTCTGGAAGAACCCCAGAGTTCCCAGAGACTCTAATTGAGAGACGGCTGTGATATGAGAATATCGGAGGACAATCAACCACATCTCAAGGAGCTCCTAGCAACCTCTCAAAGAACCCTAGGGTTCCCAGGAACTCTAGTTGGGAATGGCTGTGATTGGGAGGATAAAAACTCATGTGAAGGGATGAATGGGGTTGTAAAAAAAAAAAAAAGAGAGCCACCAAAGTTATTTTTTTAATTTCATTAGTTTCACATGTTTTTTTAAAAAAAAAACCCTATCAACTAATTTTTGTCTTTTCAACTGGAGTAACATATACAACAAAACTGAAGAAAAGCACCAAGAAGCATCGGTCAAGGTATGGAAGAACAATGTAGGGTGCCATTTTTATATTCTCCACAAGCGGTGTCAGTGGAACCTACAAACAGGAAGTGATGTCATCTACCCACAGGAAGTGATGTTGAGCTATAAAAAGGAAGTTCTGGGTGAGAGTTGACTTGGGAGGAAGACGGGAGGAAGACGAAAGAAGACATTGCTGGAACTGGCAGCAGAGGAGGTAATACGATCTGATTTGCTATTTGCACCCAGTAACCTCGCAAGAACAAATATATTTAGGAGAAAGGATCGGGTGGTTGCAGAACTTGACATTAAAAAAGTTGGACTCGAGGTAACGGAACTGGAAACCCCATCTAGGTACAAAGATACGAGGTAAGTCGGAGAAATGCCTTCGGATCACATTGTTACACTCCAACAAAGTTCTTTCTTGTTACAATGGAAGATTCGTTGGTTACTTTATCACCATGTGATGGAAACGGGTCCTGAGGAAGGACTTATGTTAGTCGAAACAGTTTCTCCAGACAAGTCTGTTTTATCCCATTGACAGCAATGATGGATCTTAATGTTCTCCCACTGCCACCAATGATGGGATTTACATTACATCTAATTCCTCCTCTGTGCACCCTCAACAGTAGGCTGGCCACCTCATCCCTTTAAACCCGGGGACACTAGTGACACAGGTTCTGAGGCTGATTAAGGTGGTCATTAAACTAACTTAGTGCCTTCTCTGCAATAAATTAGCTTCGGAACCCGTGTCATTCATATGTTTTTGGTTTTAAAGGGATGAGGTGGCAACCCTACTCGACAGCATATCTAACACTTCTCTGGAGATTTCAAACCTAAAATAAAAGGTTTTAGTTGGAGTTGTTCTTCAAAAAAATTTACCTAACCGGAGGAGGATTCTGGGAGGTCACATGACATCACTCATCTCTATTAATAAAACACAGAGCTGACCGGAGAGGTGAGGAGGATTCTGGGAGGTCACATGACGTCACTCATCTCTATTAATAAAACACAGACCTGACCGGAGAGGTGAGGAGGATTCTGGGAGGTCACATGACGTCACTCATCTCTAATTAATGAAAGAGGTGAGGAGGATTCTGGGACATGATCACTCATCTCTATTAATGAAACACAGATCTGACCGGAGAGGTGAGGAGGATTCTGGGAAGTCTGTGGTGATAATTGTTACTTCTCTCTCTATACTCAGGATTATAAAGTAGTGAAGGAACTATCTGGCGATCCATTATCACCCAGCAGCCGTCTTCACAGGACATCACCCATCACAGGGCCTCCACCTCACTGCCTGACAACAGTGGGAACCAGTGCCAAGAAGATTCTAGAAGTCACCCAGAAGATCATTGATCTGCTGACAGGAGAGGTGAGCGGGGCCATGCCGGGAATTCTGGGACATTCTCCAGTAACAGACAAGGGATGTGTCTGGATGGTGACTGTATCATTGTGTGTGTCAGGTTCCTATAAGGTGTCAGGGTGTCACTGTCTATTTCTCCATGGAGGAGTGGGAGTATTTAGAAGGACACAAGGACCTCTACAAGGACGTCATGATGGACAATCAGCCGCCCCTCACATCACCGGGTAAGAGGAGACTTTATTGTAAAGGAGAGAGCAGTACGGAGGGTCCACCTAGATCCCCCATCATCTGATAAATACATGGAAACAATGGATTCAGTCAGTGTGTGTGTTTCCTACAGATGGATCCAGTAATGGGAACCGACCAGAGAGATGTCCTCGTCCTCTGTATTCCCGGGATTCCATACAGGAAAATCACACCATTCCTCACGATCATCAGGTAGATGGGGCTGAACATGTAGACCTAAAAATGTATACTGAAATGTAATTCTTCTATGTATTCTCTTGTTTCTTTGTATACATGTATTCTGTCATCATTGGGGTTTAGGGCGAAGAACTAAAATATATCAAAGTTGAGGTTAAAGAGGAAGAAGAAGAGACCGTGATGGGAAGTCGGCAATCTACAGAGGGTGGTTCTCTGTATTCACACCATGATCAGGTAATCAGGACTGAAAATATTTTTAAACTATGAGAAAAAATTTCTTCTGTGTTATTTCTTTTCTACAGTTTTATTTCCAGATTATATATTTTATCATTTTGGGGTTTAGGGTGAAGAACTGAAAGGCATTAAAATTGAGATTAAAGAGGAAGAAGAAGAGACGTTGGTGAATGGAGCTCAGCAGTCTATGGAGGAGGGGGAGATGATTACTAAACATGAACAAGAGAAATATTCTCTGTATATCAACACAAGTAAGTAATAACCATTAATTGCAGAAACAGTTCTTGGGAGCAGATACTGTACACCATATGAAAGGTCCATCTCCATTCCTCAATATAAACGTCATGTTCCCAACAAATGAGGAGGAGATAATGGACACCATATGAAAGGTCCATCTCCATTCCTCAATATAACGCCATGTTTCCAACAAATGAGGAGGAGATAATGGACACCATATGAAAGGTCCATCTCCATTCCTCAATATAACGTCGTGTTCCCAACAAATGAGGAGATACTGGACACCATATGAAAGGTCCATCTCCAATCCTCAATATAACGTCATGTTTCCAACAAATGAGGAGGAGATAATGGACACCATATGAAAGGTCCATCTCCATTCCTCAATATAACGTCGTGTTCCCAACAAATGAGGAGGAGATACTGGACACCATATGAAAGGTCCATCTCCATTCCTCAATATAACGTCACGTTCCCAACAAATGAGGAGGAGATACTGGACACCATATGAAAGGTCCATCTCCATTCCTCAATATAACGTCATGTTCCCAACAAATGAGGAGATACTATACACCATATGAAAGGTCCATCTCCATTCCTCAATATAACGTCGTGTTCCCAACAAATGAGGAGGAGATACTGGACACCATATGAAAGGTCCATCTCCATTCCTCAATATAACGTCATGTTCCCAACAAATGAGGAGGAGATACTGGACACCATATGAAAGGTCCATCTCCATTCCTCAATATAACGTCATGTTCCCAACAAATGAGGAGGAGAGATACTGGACACCATATGAAAGGTCCATCTCCATTCCTCAATATAACATCATGTTCCCAACAAATGAGGAGATACAGGACACCATATGAAAGGTCCATCTCCATTCCTCAATATAACGTCATGTTCCCCACAAATGAGGAGGAGATACTGGACACCATATGGAAGGTCCATCTCCATTCCTCACAGTAATAATGTCATTGATGCACTCTGTTATGCCAGAGCTCCGTGAATCTGTTGAGTTTTGTACCAACACATATGACTCATGTATGTAAGGCATGAAGAGTACATGTAACATTGGTCTGAAAATTGTTTTCCCAACAGGTGGACACTATGTCCAGAATACCTCTGAGGGACCTCAATTTCTATCCCCAGATCGTAATGCAGAAGAAGTTGGAATCACTCAACACTTTCCAGGTGTAAATCCCGTGACTCCAAGTATACATCCCAGACCCTACCAGTTGGGGAGATCAATGGATCCCTCGAACCCTGAGGAATCCTTGGATCAATCACATACTATGACTTCAGATATCCATCTAATATCTCACAGTGTGAATCAATCAATAGATTCATCCAATCCCAAGGAATCTTCTTCAAACGGTGAAGGAGCTCACACGAGACAGGCCTCATGGTCATGTTCGGTATGCAGGAAATCGTTCACTAAAAAGAGAAACCTTGTAGCACACCAGAGAATTCACACAGGGGAGGGTCTTTTCCAATGTTCAGAGTGCGGGAAGTGTTTTGTCCAGAAAGAAAAACTTGTTATACACCAGAGAATTCACACTGGCGAGCGTCCCTTTTTATGTTCCGAGTGCGGAAAAGGCTTTGCCGAAAAAAGAACGCTTCAAAGACACCAGAGATCTCACACAGGGGAGAGGCCCTATCCATGCGGCGAGTGTGGGAAACGTTTCATTCAGAAAGAAGACCTTATTAAACACCAGAGAATTCACACAGGGGAACGTCCCTATTCGTGTTCAGAGTGCGGGAAATGTTTCACCGAAAAAAAAAAAGGACGCTGGTCATACATCAGAGAATTCACACGGTGTGAGCGACCCTATTCGTGTTTAGAGTGCGGGAGGTGTTTCGCTGAGAGGAGAATACTTCTTATACACCAGCGAAGTCACACGGGTGAGCGTCCCTTTCCCTGTTTGGAGTGCGGGAAATGTTTGACTGAGAAAAGAAACCTTCTTATGCATCAGAAAATTCACACGGGTGAGCGTCCATTTTCATGTCCAGAGTGCGGGAAAGGTTTCACTGAGAAAAGATCGCTCGTTAAGCACCAGAAAAGTCATACTTGTGGGTGTCTTTTTTCATATACAGAGTGTGGGAAAGGTTTCATACAGACGGGAGATCTGCAACATCAGGGAAGTCATTCATGCGAGCGTCCCTATTTATGTCCCGAGTGTGGGAAAGGCTTCATCCACAAAGAAAACCTTCTTAAACACCAGCGAATACACTCAACCGATCGCCCTTACTCCTGTTCCGAGTGCGGGAAAGGTTTTGTCCAGAAAGGAAACCTTCTTTCACACCAGAGAATTCACACAGGCGAGCGTCCTTTCTCGTGTTCGGTGTGCGGGAAATGTTTCAGTCATAAAGTAAGCCTTCTTCGACACCAAAGAATTCACACAGGCGAGCGCCCGTATCCATGTTCAGAGTGCGGGAAATCTTTCACCGACAAAGGAAACCTTCTTAAACACCAGAGGATTCACACGGGGGAGCGTCCTTATGCATGTTCAGAGTGCGGGAAAGGCTTTATTTACAGGAAAAAACTGATACGGCACCAGAAAATTCACACGCGCTAACACCCTTTGCTTGTGTTCAGAATGCGGGAAACGTTTCAAGGAGAAAGGACACTGGGAGTCCACATGACAAAGGGGTTTTTTTTCATATCTAGCCCTAGGGCATGCCCCTCCCCCCCCATCATTTCTCTCCATACAATCATTATTGCTGCGGCCATGTTTTGTATTTTTTTACCCTAATATAAGAGGACCCGTAGGCCGGGGCGTATCGTATTGACCACAAGGCATTTGCTCAGGGCGCCATTTTTTAGGGGGGCCCCTCGGAAGAAGGAGCACACGCCACATGGGGACCAGGTGGGATCCAAGAGAGCCTGCAGGCTGCTTGACGGTGTATGCAGAGCCCGGCTCTTGTTCCTGGGGATGGCCTGAGCTGTGAAGGTGAGTGTCTGGGAGTTTCTTTGTGTTGGTTGGTGTCAGGCTCTCTCCTTTGGGGGAGGGGGTCGCTGGTTGGTGTTATGCTCTCTCCGCGGTTGGGTGGGGGAAGTGTTGGTCAGCTTCGGGCCCTCTCCTTCTGGGGGTTGTTGGTCAGTGTTATGCTCTCTCCACAGTGGGGGGGGGGCATGTTGATCAGTGTCAGGCTCTCTCCTTTGGGGAGGTGGGTTGCTAGTTGGTGTTATGCTCTCTCTGCGGTTGGGGGGGCATGTGGTTGGTGTCAGGCTCTCTCCTTTGGGGAGATGGGTTGCTGGTTGGTTTTATGCTCTCTCCGCAGTTGGGAGGGGCATGCTGGTTGGTGTCAGGCTCTCTCCTTTGGGGAGGTGGGTTGCTGGTTGGTTTTATGCTCTCTCCGCAGTTGGGGGGGGCATGCTGGTTGGTGTCAGGCTCTCTCCTTTGGGGAGGTGGGTTGCTGGTTGGTGTTCTGCTCTCTCTCTGCAGGTTGGGGGGGGGGGGGGCGTGTTGGTCAGTGTCAGGCTCTCTCCTTTGGTGAGGTGGGTTGCTGGTTGGTGTTATGCTCTCTCCACGGTTGGGGGGGGGGGGATGGGTTGCGGCGTGTTGGTCATGTGTCAGGCTCTCTCCTTTGGGGAGGTGGGTTGCTGGTTGGTGTTATGCTCTCTCTGCGGTTGGGGGGGGGGGGGGGGCGCGTGGTTGGTCAGTGTCAGGCTCTCTCCTTTGGGGAGATGGGTTGCTAGTTGGTGTTATGCTCTCTCTGCGGTTGGGGGGGGGCATGCTGGTTGGTGTCAGGCTCCTCCTTTGGGGAGGTGGGTTGCTGGTTGGTGTTATGCTCTCTCCACGGTTGGGGGGGGGGGGGGGGTCGGCGTGTTGGTCAGTGTCAGGCTCTCTCCTTTGGGGAGGTGGGTTGCTAGTTGGTGTTATGCTCTCTCCGCGGTTGGGGGGGGGCATGCTGGTTGGTGTCAGGCTCTCTCCTTTGGTGAGGTGGGTTGCTGGTTGGTGTTATGCTCTCTCCACGGTTGGGGGGGGGGGGGGGGGGGGGTGGTTGTTGGTCAGTGTCAGGCTCTCTCCTTTGGGGAGGTGGGTTGCTGGTTGGTGTTCTGCTCTCTCCGCGGTTGGGGGGGGGCGGCGTGTAGGTCGGTGTCAGGCTCTCTCCTTTGGGGAGGTGGGTTGCTAGTTGGTGTTATGCTCTCTCCGCGGTTGGGGGGGGGGGGGGCATGCTGGTTGGTGTCAGGCTCTCTCCTTTGGGGAGATGGGTTGCTGGTTGGTTTTATGCTCTCTCCGCAGTTGGGAGGGGCATGCTGGTTGGTGTCAGGCTCTCTCCTTTGGTGAGGTGGGTTGCTGGTTGGTGTTATGCTCTCTCCACGGTTGGGGGGGGGGGGGGCGGCGTGTGTTGGTCAGTGTCAGGCTCTCTCCTTTGGGGAGGTGGGTTGCTAGTTGGTGTTATGCTCTCTCCACGGTTGGGGGGGGGGGGCATGCTGGTTGGTGTCAGGCTCTCTCCTTTGGGGAGATGGGTTGCTGGTTGGTTTTATGCTCTCTCCGCAGTTGGGAGGGGCATGCTGGTTGGTGTCAGGCTCTTTCCTTTGGGGAGGTGGGTTGCTGGTTGGTGTTCTGCTCTCTCTGAAGTTGGAGGGGGGCGTGCTGGTCGGTGTCAGGCTCTCTCCTTTGGGGAGATGGGTTGCTGGTTGGTTTTATGCTCTCTCCGCAGTTGGGAGGGGCATGCTGGTTGGTGTCAGGCTCTTTCCTTTGGGGAGGTGGGGGTTGCTGGTTGGTGTTCTGCTCTCTCTGAAGTTGGAGGGGGCGTGCTGGTCGGTGTGTCAGGCTCTCTCCTTTGGTGAGGTGGGTTGCTGGTTGGTGTTATGCTCTCTCCACGGTTGGGGGGGAGGCGGCGTGTTGGTCAGTGTCAGGCTCTCTACTTTGGGGAGGTGGGTTGCTGGTTGGTGTTCTGCTCTCTCCGCGGTTGGGGTGGCGGCGTGTAGGTCAGTGTCAGGCTCTCTTCGCGGGAAAGGATGGGGCAGACGATTTTTGTGTTGCCTAGGGCAGAACAAAACTTAGATACACCACTGCCCGTGGGTTATGTAAATAGATATGCCCTTAACCCCTCACCCTCCTGACGATTTACCCCCCCTTCCTGACCGGGCCATTTTTTGCGTTATGGCGCTCCGTTACTTTAACTGACAATTGCGCGGTCGTGCAACACTGCTCCCAAATTAAATTTGCGGCCTTTTTTTTCCCCCATGAATGGAGCTTTCTTTTGGTGGTATCTGATCGCCTGTTCGGTTTTTATTTTTACATGTCCAGTAAAAAAAATTTTAAAAATCAAATTTCATCATAAATTTACGCCAAAATGTATTCCACTCCGTGTCTTTGCTACAAAAAAATCTTGATACATGTAAATTAATTGGTTATAGCATTTACAAATGGCAGTGTTTATATACACTGGGATTTTTTTTTAATTTTTACTAGTAATGGCGGTGAGCGGGACTGTGGGACATTCTGACACTGGGGGGGAGCTGACTTGGTGTCACTGACATCCCCAGTGACACCAATACAGTGATCAGTGCTAATAAAAAGCACAGACACTATGCTAATGGAACAGGGCAGGAAGGCGTTAACATGAGGGGTGATCAAAGGGTTAACTGTGTGCTGGGAGTGTTTTACTAGGGGGCGGGGTCTGTGTGCTTCACTGTAATCACACTGCTTTGGATGGCCGTGCTGTGCACCACAAAGAGAAAACTGACGCGTTTCGGCCCTTACGGTGACTGACTAGAGCCTGTAAGGGCTGAAATGCATCAGTTTGTCTTTGTGGTATATCTTAGACCTTAGAATTCCACGGGTGGGAATTCCCTACATCTTCTTTTGAGTTTGAGGGTAGCAGCACCAAACCTTTTGCATTATAGACATTGGAATGTTGAGGGTTACCTTCGGAAGATATGGACTGATACAGCATGACTAATCGCTGGAGTTACTTTGGTAGAGTTGGCCACACTCCTTGGTAGACTTGGCCAGAACTCTAAAATCTTCTTTACTACATATCCATTAGGAGTAAAGATCCACCACAAAGAGAAAGTTGATGCGTTTCAACCCTTACGGTGAATGACTAGAGCCTGTAAAAGCTGAAACGCATCAACATTATCTTTGTGGTAGATCTTAGAGCTTTGACCACATGGTTGCCGACCTTTCTCAAATTAAACTTCCAATTGAACAGATTGTGTGGCTGTGGTCTTGGCATGGGCGAGAATTCCCTACACCTTATTTTGAGTTTGATGGTAGCAGCACCAAACCTTTTGCATTATAGACATTGGAATGTTGAGGGTTCCAGCATGACTAATCTCTGGAGCTACTTTGGTATACTTGGCCACACTCGTATTCTGTTTTCTGAGCAAAGAGTGAATATTGAACTATCTTCTTGATGCTCTGACCTCTGGAGGAGCCTACCAAAGGAAGGCCACACCGTATGCAGCTGATGACTCAGATTTTGTTTTCGGAGCAAAGAGTGAATATGGACTATCTTCTTGATGCTCTGACCTCCGGAGGATCCTACCAAAGGAAGGCCACACCGTATGCAGCTGATGACTCAGATTTTGTTTTCGGAGCAAAGAGTGAATATGGACTATCTTCTTGATGCACTGACCTCTGGAGCAGTGCTACCAAAGAGTGAATATGGACTATCTTCTTGATGCCACGGAGGTGCCTACCAAAGTACGCAGGCAATCCTCGGGAGCTGATGACGGACTCCATACCCTAACGAGGAGGAGAACATGGATCTGTGCAAGACACCCCCAAATGATATCCATCAGAGACCTCCAGTGCCGGATTACCAAATAGGCAGAGAAGGCACTAGCCTATGGGTCCCACCCACGTTGTTTAAGGGCCCCGCGACGACGGATCAAAATATCATGTAAGAAAATGACAATGAAGCTTTCTTAAATGGTCTACAAAAGATGAAAAAAAAAAGGAATCAATTCAAAGAAAAGAAAAAAACTTTACATGGAAGACTCTATAGAGTAATGACTGTATTCATTTAATGTACCCCATGAAGATTTAGTCAGACCAGAGCAATCAGGTTCACATTACGGTTTGTCTCATCTTTCCATGGTCGGTTTGTAAAAAACGTTGGTGCAGCCTACGTCAGGGTAGAGCAGAGTAGCGATGGTCATCTCCATCCAGCGGGCAACACGCACACTACTTAGCTCAATGCTATCCCACTAGAGCGTGTGCATGAGAAACCTCCAAAAACTGGCATGGGGGTCCCAAGATTTCAACTGCTTCCAAAAAGGTTAATCCGGCACTCGAGACCCAACCGTGAGTTAAATGTAACTCCCTTTCGGCTTCCGTGGCCACATATGCGGCTTCTTGGCGTGTGGGCCTTAACGCAGATAGGCCGTGTATATGCATACCAAAAGATAAGCAGAGCACGCTCCCGGCACAACGGAAAGCTCCCGATCTCTACTGAAGCTTTCCGATCATGTGGCAGCCAATCGCAGCGGTCATATGATCAGAAAGCCTGCCTCCCGGCATCTGGAACCCCTTAGAGGGCTGAGAGGCCCTGGCGACAAGAGGTTAATCTACGTGA